GAGAGTAGAGAGTAGAGTGGAGAGTAGAGAGAGTAGAGATTAGAGATTAGAGAGAGAGAGAGAGGAGAGAGTAGAGATTAGAGAGAGAGAGAGTAGAGAGGAAAGAGTAGAGAGTAGAGAGTAGAGAGTAGAGAGTAGAGAGTAGAGAGTGAGAGTAGAGAGTAGAGAGTAGAGAGAGTAGAGAGTAGAGAGTAGAGAGTAGAGAGTGGAGAGTGGAGAGTGGAGAGTAGAGAGTGAGAGTAGAGAGTAGAGAGTAGAGAGTAGAGAGTAGAGAGTAGAGAGTAGAGAGTAGAGAGTAGAGAGTAGAGAGTAGAGAGTAGAGAGTAGATCTACTCATAAATCGAAAATTCTCCCGCTTTATCAATAAGACAGCTCGAAATTCTAAACAGGAAAAGTGCAGCAAACCAATATACTCTCATTTAATGGCCATAAAACGGACAATCAAAGCAGACATGCAATGCTTGCTGCTTTGGCGGTCATCAGTCGATTCTATGAAGCGGATACTATTAGTTGGACTTTTGTCATGTTGTTGTCTAATTTGTGTTTGTTGTAGTTTTTGGTCATTTTTAATGATGTGAAAGAAAGTTATGAGCTGAATTTTCTAATGACAGCCCTCGCACCACCCAACCACTGCCTGTGAGATCTATTGTCAGCGCTCTATCAGAAATTCTGTGGAATTCAAATTAGAAAATTCAACTTTGAAATTCGAAACTCTCACTGTTGCTGTCGGTCGCTCGGTCGGTCGGTCGTCCGTTCGATCTGGCCAATGCAAATCTCAGCCAGAGGCCATGGAGCAGGCTAATCAATCAATATGCTAGCCAAGCACAGTAGCTAATTCAGCGTCACATTCGTTCAGAGGGGGGAGTCAGAGAGTCAACTAGAGTTGCTGCAGTCATAAATATGTATATATTTACATGTGAACGTAGACACCTCAACATGCCATAAATAATTAGCCAACAAAATTTGCTGCTGCTGCTGTTGTTGTTGTTGTTGTTGTTGTTTAACAAAATGTGCAACAGAAGCTGCTAAGACAAGACATGAATTGGCGAAAAATGAAAAACTTTCGCCACAACAAATAAATAATGAATGGAGTGTATTGACAGCTCAACAGCGGGTGGGAAATTGAGCCCGAGCCCGCAGTCCAAGAGAGCTTGGTTTGATGAAAATCGAAAAGTTGGCGAATAAATGCCGCTGCCTGATCAGGAACTAATCAATTGTCAGCACATGAATGATGAAACACCTGTTGTGGCTGAGGGGAAATTGAGGATGATTGACAAAAGTGTAGACAAAAAGTCAATTAGTAATTCTATTGTAGGTAAGTGTCTGTTAATTGATGTATATATACATATATACGAAGGGATTCAGAATCGTAACAAATTCTGTTTAAGTTCTTAAGCTGCACTTTGTTATTTGAATTTTAGTTTATTGTTAGACTTATTATAAATCAAGAATCATTAATCAAGTTAAAAGTTATAAATGATATTTTGATATTTTTTGCTGCCCTTTTTAGCTTTCTTAACCCGAATAACAGTCATTAAATCTAATTATAATATATACTTATATACTTATGAATTTACTTATTAACTATTTATAGTATCAATAAATTCAATACAATTTCTATTTAACTTCTCAGGGTCTAAGAGTTCTTAAAAGGTTATCGAAAGTGCACCAAAAAAATATACAATTCGAAGATCGACTGAAAAATAATCGATCTACAGTTTGCCTAATATTGTATGTTAAGCAGAAAATGTTATGATGCGATGTAATATGTTAAGTCGAAATGTGACTCAAAATTGAATCGACCCAGAGTCTAGTCCCTTATTAAATATTCAATAACAAATTTAGTATATTCCTCTATATAATTCCTCTACGTTCTAATTAGATATGTCCATGTATTTCACAGACAAAATATGAATTGAAGAACTATGCTAGATGAACTCTACAATTAATACTCAACAAGACTATAATTGTTCACGACTAGAACTTCAGTTACATACATTTTCACACAGCCATTATGCCCAGCTTAACGAATTGCACTGGGTTCAGGGTATATAACATATAAAATAAAAAAAAAAAAAAAAAAAAAAAAAAACTGTTGCTCGTTGGGGCTTAAACTCTAATTAACGCCTCATCTGCAGTGTCCCCCCACTTGGCTGGCTTATGGCGGGCGAGAGAGATTGTGGTCGGTAGCCCAGCGTAATGCCACGAACTGTCTTAGCGCTGTGCCCATTCTGTCTGCCTGAGAACCTGAGAAGAGGCGCAGTAGGTGGAGTTCGTTTCGGCGCTGGGCTTAAAGTAAAAATCTTTTACGGTATTTCCACAGCTCACGTCGCCCAATTAGACGCACTTTAATGGGTCATTAAATGTGGATATATATATACACGTAAATGTGTGTGTGTGTGTGTGTGTCTGTGTGTGATTTTATTATTATTAATAATTTCGCGTTTTATGCATTTCTAAGACCATATATGCCCACTGTAATTGCAGTCAAGCCCCGGTTCAAATCTCTCAAATCTTCGAATGTCAGCTAACTGTGCGGCGGGGCGTGTTGTTTTTGTATACCCTGGCAAGACTGTTAATATACTGGGTATATTGCTGTGGAGCCAGAGATAATAGTAGATTATTTAGTATATCAATGAATGCTGGCAGCTTGAGCTTGAAGCTCAAAAGCAATAAAATGTGCAGATATATATTCTTATATTCTCATATAAAGAGCTCTTCTATGATATCATATAATAATTCATATAATTTTGTAGCAAAGAGATTTATAAATTATTTAACATATTTACTTATAGATTTTAGATATATAATATAATTTAGAGACATCAAACTTGATATATAGTTTCCCATAAAGTTTTTACAGATTCTAATGATTGCTTAATCTGATTACCGTAATGCATAAGAATCAAGGAATAGCCGATATATATAATAGACAGTAGCTACACAAGACCTCCAGGGTATCTTGTAGTCTATCACACCCTATCTTACCTGCTGTTGTTGTGGCTTCTGTTGCCTATGCTGCAGTTGCTTTGACTCGAGTTTTTAACGCGCCCAGCTTCCGGTTGGCGTTATAAAAAAAAAAACCAAAAAAAACCAAGCTGAAAAAAAAAACAAAAACTGCTCCTCTTTCTTCTATGGCTATGTTCGCACTTGTTGTTGCTTGGCTTTTACGATTTACTTTTTTCCTTCTCTTGATATTTTTTTTTGTGAGTTTTCGCCACGCTGTTTTTACACCTCGTTTTTTACACTCGAAACTTCTTTTTATGCTTGTTTCTTGATAATTTTTCCCGCTCGCCACTCGTTCACTCTCAGTTACAAACTTTTTTATGTTTTCATTTCTGGGCATCGTCGCGCGTTAATTGAATTTGCGGCATGGCCAAGCGCCTGCCCAGCTGCCCGGCTGCCACGCCCCATATCTCCAATCCCGTTGCCAGATCCAGCCGCGCATCCAGTCGTCTATTCGCTGCGCTATTTATTTAATTATATTGCCGCTCACTGGCTCCGTCCGCCACTCGGTTTATCTGCTTCGGTTGGCTTTCTAGCCAGCGATTTACCTTCTCTTCTTCAGTTTGTTTAGCACTAATCATTTGCATTTTTCAGCTGCTGACTCTTTATAGTTCCATAAACTTAATTGTCTTTCTTTTTAACTGTTTTTGTTTAGCCATGGTTTTTGACCAGGAAGTGAAGTTTTTGCTTCAATAAACATTCCATTACTTTCGTTTGCTTGATTTATTCTATTTGATATATAAAATTTTTAACTATGCAATTCTATGCAATTTTTACTTGGTTGCTGCATTCACTGTTTAGCTAAGTTTCGCACCCAAGCAGCTGCATGTGAATTGTTGGACGACGAAACTTGTTGCATACTTTGCGGCGGCAAATGAAAAGATGAAGCCTCTGAGGTCATCTTCAGTTGCAAGTAATTTTATTGCTTAAATATCCATATTTTATTGAAAAAGTAAATTAAAATTTTGTTTTTTAGAATCGAAATATATAAGTATTTTTATCAAAGGCTAAGCTTGATGAAAAGTTGACTGAACTAACACTCTAAAAAAACTCATGAAAATATTTGCAAATGCATTCAAGGCTGTGTTGAAATATATAAATATTTATTATATTCATTTTGTAGTGCTCAACTAAATTATTTACTATTTTTAATAAAACAATGTAGCACATATTTCTTCTTCCATATACATAATTAATTTTATTTATTTTGTTCTCGTTTTGGTCTTTATACAAAAGCAATATATATATATATATATATATATATATATATATATATATATATATATATATATATTGATATGATTATTATGAAATAATAATAGGGAAATGCCTAATACTTAATTAGCCAAAATACTCGAATAGAAATATATTCAATGGGAATTTGATTACAATGTTCTCAGTGGTAAATTTTACAATTTTTGGAAGAATTACAATTTTATAGTTAATTTATTTATTTATATATATATTTTTGTTAGGTATATATAAATATTTTCGTAAAAATATTAAAGCAAACATATTTTCGTTTCATTTGACGTTTTTCTCTGCAGTTTCAAACTGTTTATGAATATTTGTAGTTCTTCCTCTTCTTCCTCTTCTTTTCCTTCTGTTGCTGCTGCATGCTAATTTGGCACTCAAGGGATTTATACGAAGTTGGAATTGAAATGTTAAGCGCAATCATTTATATTTAGAATAAAATACAAAGTTCGTACAAATATATACAGTTAATATTAGAGATAGAGAGAGAGAGAGAGAGAGAGAGAGACATTTGGAGAGTGGGTTAAGATAACGCTCTTTATAAATATTCATTACAAATGATTTGTATAACAAACTGCGTCTTAGAACTAATTAAATATTCGTATGCATATAGATATTATTGTTTACATGTGAACAACAAAAAAACCTTTATACACACCGGACACTCACACTCTCTCAGACACACACACATACATATACACACACAAACACCTGCTCTCTCACACATACACATATATTAGTTGTAGTTTGTATAGTTTTTCTTGTTCAGTTTAATTGTTAACTTGGCGAGACTCAATTGGCTCAGTCGACTTATATGCATAGTGCTAGCTAAACCTATAAACCCACATATATGTCTATGTCTAGTATTCAATCGTTGGCCATGCAGTAGCCGGAATAAGTTTGTATGTTATCCTCGAGAAAACTTTCGCCCGCTATAACGCCGGATTGTGTATGATGGCTGGGACAGCGATGACCCTTGGGACACTGGCACAACGAATTGATATTGACCTCGTCCAGAAACTCCTGGCGCTTGCGCACTGTAAACAGCTTGCAGGGCTGCTTGCGCTGACAACGCAGACGCTAAAGAGAGAGAGGGAGAGAGACAGAGTTAGGTTTAAGCTGGAGAGAATTAGACTTATGCAAGCTACTCACTGTCAGCGGCGAACAGGCGAATAGATAGCGATAGGCTGTTGGACTATTGGGCGCCGGCTCCCGTTTGGTCAGATAGGTCACAGAGTTCTTGGGACAGCGACAGTGCACTATTTGCTCAGTGACATTCAGCTCCAAGGCTGTGGTCAGCGTCCAGGTGTAGTCACGGAAGTGTCTGCAAGGCAAAGGAAATTTAGCTAAAGCACTCCTGGATAACTGGATTTGCTCTCTACTCACTTGCAAACGGGCAACTTGTGCACGGGCTGGCAGAGCTTGTAGTGCCTGGTCTTGTCCGCAATGGTGTGGCCGTCCTCTACGCCCAGGCTGCTCGGGCAGCCGCCAATGAAGCTGGTCGCTTCCTTCTGGCCACGATGACCTGAGTGGCGCATATGCGCACCGCCACGTGGCGGCAGGTGTGGCAACTCATTGCCCGCCACCTGTTCGTAGCTAGGTGGCAGCGCTTCATTATAGTCGGGAGAGCGTTCCACGTAGTCGCTCGAGTGCAGCTGCAGGTCGTCCTCGTAGACAGCGCCCAGCTTCTGCATTAGCTTCTTCAAGTGCAAGCTCTCGTAGCGCTTGTCCTGGTAGAGTTCCTCGCCCAGCAGCAAGCGCTTGTGCTGCAGCAGTTTCTCCTTCTCGTAGTAGCTGCGATGCTTCTGGCCCTCGGGCAGGCCATGGCCGTGCTCATGATGATGCACGATCACGTTGTTGGGCATGCGATTCGACTCGGGGCAGCGGCATTGTCGCTCTATCCAGGGCGTCTCGTACAGGTCGATCTTGGAGCAAACCGCGTTCGGTGCGCACACCGGCAAGTCGGCCTCAGAGTCCTGCAAGCAAGGACAGAAAAGGAAACGCGAAAACTTAGTTTGTGACAATTTGATTTCAGTTTTATTAATGGACTCTCGCTTGTGCCGCATTTGCATAGCCAAGTGGCAAGCACGTCCTCGAATCTGAACAAGCCATTCAAATAATTTCATTCATACACTTCCCAACAACTGCCCAGCAGCAGAGCAGGAGCAGGCGGGCCCATAAGGTGAGCATTGAGTTCGCTTTAAGGGTTTGAAGAGCTCCTTTACAGGCTATTCAGGCAAATAGCAGTTAGGGAGCGCAGACCTCGCAGCAAATGGAAAGGTAAAGGATAGTTGGAAATAGAAGCAATAGGAAGCTAGAGATTGGGGATTATCTTTATAGATACTAACTGGAAAATATGTTAGGAATTCCTCAAGATTCCATATTTGCACTAAAGTTTCCAATGAAATATGAGAACATGGATCCCATAGATGGGAAACATGGCTTATGGATGCCTCAACAATGACAGGATATATTTTAAGGACTGCACTTCATCTACAGAAGCTGCTACAATCTACCATTAAATCTGCTGTAAACTTAAGTTAGTCAAGTTCTGTCAGATCTAAGCAACCCTTCAACTCGTCTACCAATTCACCTAGACTAACCTCTAACTCATATATACTTTTATGCTTAATATACCTTTATGAAAACAGAGAAGACCCCAAGTTCTGTTGGGTAAACAGCTGCTTGATTAACATATGTGTCTGTCCCAACTGCTATAGCATATCTAATGCGCTTCCTCTATCTATCTATCTATGTATATGTTTGTTTGGGACTCCATGGAGTCCTGTAAACATCCTAAGCAGATACTTTTCGTTTAATTGAATTCCTAACGCCTCTCAGATTGTCCTGTTGTCCGTTGTCCGTCCCAACACGTTGTTTACTTAAACCTAGTTCGTTCCTTGCTCTCTGGGCTCACATAAAAGCTTATGTTGTCCTTGTTCTGATGCTATTCCTGTATGCCAGTTCTGCGCTATAAACATAAAATCCAACTAGCAACTGCGGACTTTTAGTTTTTGTTTTCGTTTCGCTCGCTTCGCTTCTTATCACCCCCGCTACGGCCGCCTTGAGCTCGGCTGCCTCGTCTCTACTGTCATTTATCCCTCTCATTTGATTTTATTGTATGGCACTCTGGCGACACACAACAACACACTCACATGAGCGACAACAACTGCGTGAATGGCGACAACAACAACACGTTTCCAATGAAATTATCGAAAGCAATCAATTTTTTAAGTGGAACTTCTTTCAACTGGTACCTTTTTGACATCTCTCTCGATGAAGTTGTTGTTGCTGTCTTACTTTTTAGACTGAGCACTTGTCGATACCCTGTAGACGAATGTATGAGGGTGATGTTTCAGAGAACTGAATGGGGGTGCAGGATAAGTGCCAAATACTCCACGTTGGATATATAGTACATATCTTGATTGGTAGATCGTATTTGCTTCCTCCTCCTTTCATAACTGAAAATTTCTCTATTTAATTCCTTCAACTTATAGGGTATTTCATAGTTCACAACTTCCCACTCTGCACCACTTTAATTTGCTTCATTTTGTTGTTTTGATCTTTTGTTTGGTTTCGATTTCAATTTGATTTTCTGTTTGTGTATAGCCAAGCCGTGGCCCCTCGACATATGGCTGGTTCCTTCTGATTTGTATTCAAATTATTTTTATAATGAAATCAATAGGCTGTCTCCAGGCGTTGTTGAGAGTGAGTTGCACCTGCCCTAAGGTACAGCTACCTGAGCGTCCTGCTGCCCCTGTCGTTATCTCTCCATCTCTATCGTTCGCCCTGTCTCTCTCTCTCTCCCTCTCCCTCTCTCACTCTGACTTTGCCTCTATTACTTAGCGCGACCGTGACGAACCGGAAGTCCGGAAGTGATTTAGTGCAGGCGACCGCCTGGCGGAAGTAAATAAATATATGTAAGTGCAGCAAACACACACACACACACTCATGCACTGTGTATGTGTGTGTGTGTTCTTTAAAAAGGGATTAGCACTGGCACCGGAAGCATAGCAAAGCCAAAGCCAAACAGGTTGCCTATCTGACCTTTTACCTTTAGCTCTATGGCTTTGCCTATGCCCAGCCCTCTCCCTCTCTCTCTCTCTCTCTCCGTTGCGGAAGTTGTCCTTCTGCCTTGCTTTATTAGTTTTATTTACTTCCGCTCGGCATTTACTTCCGCATTTGCTTGGATAAATTCCGAAAGAAGCAAATCGCTCGCGTTTCCCACGCGTTTTTGACCTACATTTTATTGTGTGGAGGAGGCGTCACCTGGCCCCGCCTGCCAGCTGCAGCCTGCTGCTAGTTCCTGCCACTGCCACTGCCGCTGCCCCTTAACCCTTTTTTTTTGGTTGACAAATTTTTCAAACATTTTCTTCATATGCTCAAAGCTTTGTTTCACGGCTTTGCCGAGCAGGAGCAAGAGCAAGGAGCACTCGAGGGAAACCTTTGTCGTGCTATCTGACAGGATATGTATACATATAAATCTGTGCATATGTATGTACATGTGCATTATGTAAGGAGCTGTCTGTCTGTCTTGTAAGCAGCGTGGGAAATTCTTTGAAATCCGAGCGTGTATATCGATGGCTCCCCCTCTCGCCAGGCTCCTGCTCGCGCTGAGGGTAGTTTGGAGTGGCTCTTCGCAGAAACCGTTATATATGTATATGTATGTATACATGTGTACATATTGATAATCAAATAGGCGAGTGTGAGTGTGAGTGTGAGTGTGAGTGTGTGCTTCCTTTAGTATAAAGCAAACATGCTGCCCCTCCGCTCATCGGCTAACCGAAATCAGTGCCTGAGATAAACAAGCTGCCGAGTCGACAAGAAAGTTTACGTTGCTGCGAAACAGAACGAAGAAGACAAGATAGAAAACAAAACTTCAAGCGGATATCCGGTTTAAGGCGAGCAAAATGAAAAAAGGGTGGGGTCAGCACACGTGTAGAAGGTAACGTGCCGACTCCAGCTCCACTCTGCCCCTCCTATGCCCATTCGACGACACTTTATAATTTGCTCGCAGCAGCACGCGCGCGCGTGCTCCACAAACAATTAGCTTCATGTGTGTCAAAGTGCAAGAGGAGGAGGAGGAGGAGGAGGAGGCGTAGACCATGTAGCAGCCAAAAGCCAAAAGCCAAGAGCCAAGAGCCAAAAGCCAACAGCCAAAGGGCGCAGCGGAAGTTGAGGGAGATGACAAATGAAAGGCAACCATGCAACGTGATGCGGCAAGCACTGTGCAACTTTTGAAGCCCCATTGCTGCTGCTGTCCAGCAGCTAAGCTGTGTGCATCGACTTCTCCTCTGCTGCGTCTGCTGCTGCTGCTGCTGCTGCTTCTTGTTCTTTTTTTTCGGCTAGCTGCTTTAAGAGCTGTCAAAGGGTTTTACGCACGCTCGTTTAATTGAATCAAATTAACCCGCACAACCCCACCGAAAAAAGAGAACGATGAAGAGGCAAACAGCCGTAAGTGTAGAGCGGGGCGGGGGGCAGCAGCGACTGCTGCTGCTTGTCATGCCCCATGTGGCTGGGGGCATGCTTGGAATTCTGCGCCACAAGAGCTGAGCACCGGAAGCTGTGCTGCCACAAAGATGACAATGACTCTTACAATATTTTGTATACCCTGTAAGAATGGGAAGAGACTGAAAGGGGGGATGGCAATTATCATTTTGGATAGGGTAAAGGAAACTAATTACGGTCTATAGGAACTGAGGAAATATTGCCGAATTTGGTATATGATATGATGTAGAACATTTTTCGCAAAACATAATAGCTATAAAATGCTAGATAAATTATAAGTGGTATAAGCTTATTCAAAGGAACTCAGGATCTGTAAGAGCTAGAGTCATCGAATTTGTTACTTGAGATGCTCTAATGCTAAGAATGAAACAAGAATATATTTTCCTTAAAAGCTAAGCCTTTTCTTCTATGAATTAATAGATCTAATATCAGCAATCTATAAAAACTCCGATGAGAAGAGCTAATAGAGTTAGTTTATAAAACTTTCGAGCACTAGATTAGCATAAGCAGTTGCTCTTATTGTGTACGCATTTACAGGGTATCTAGCAGCACAGCAACTAACTAACGCATCTATCACATTCCAATGGCAGCCGGAGTGTGCGGTGAAAACGTAATTTAGTCAGCTGCATAACTGGCATGCCACTGCATCGCTTTAGCTTTTGTCTTTAGCCTCAGATTCAGGCCCAGACCCCAGCCCCTAGCACCCCCTTCCCCCCTACCCTCTCATTGCCTGTAAGCCCCTCGGACTGCTCACTCATTACTGGGGGGAAGCCTTTGATTGTCGCTTAGCGGCGACAGCGTAATTTGAGCTTGCAGAACTAACTGAACGACTGAACGGCTGACTAACTGCGTGACTGCCTGACTGAGTGACTGAGTGACTGACTGCCTGACTGCCTGTGGCGCTCTTAGGCAGTGCGCACTGTAGACGAAGCGCTCCAGCTGCACCTGCTGCTATCAATAACCCAAACGGCTTGACATGACGCGCGCAAAATGCCAACAAAAGGACTTGCCACAAAAGGATCGACCTGCCACATGTGTCTGAGTCTGTATGCGTGTGTGTGTGTGTGTGCGTGTGCGTGTGTATTGCCAATCAGTGACATAAATTTCTCGAATGCCGGAAGAGCTCTGCCCAAAGAAATGCAACGTCTGGGCAGGGATCGATGTTTGGTTCCCATGAGGGCGTTGACGGCGAGAGCGGATGACGTGGGACGGACGGACGGATGGACAGACAGACGGACGGATAGGCAGACGAACGCCGGCTGCTGCACATGCGCCTTGCATAGCCGTTAGACACTTGTGCCAGGCGGCTGCCGCAGTTGCCGTTGTTGCTGCTGTTGTTGTTGCTGTTGTTGCTGCTGTGGCAGGTAGTTTGGCCCATGCAACAGGCGTTCGCTGTTATCTTTTGTCTGTGCGTTAATGATTTTTCTATACATTTCCTTTTGCTTAGACTCACTCTCTGCTCTTTGTT